AAGAGCCTTGTCAGGTACTCTTACTTGCTCTATTTTTACAGCTCTGGGGGGAAACTGAGGCACAGAAAGGTCAGGAAACCTGCCCAGGGTTGTATACCTGGTGAGGGGCCGAATTGGGATTCGAACCCAGGCAGCTTGGCTCTAGAACCAGTAGTCTCAGCATTGGGTTCTGCTCCCCCAAGCACAGCTTTCAATTGTTTCCCTCCGCCTTTGGAGGCTGCGTTCCTCATCCTCACATCCATTTTGCTTAGCAGTCAGGCAGATGAACAAATGCTGAGAAAGGGGGAAATTGGCCGTAACCCAGCTACCTTAGACACTAATTAGGACAATTTTCAAAGACGGTAGATCTTCACACCCTGGGTAGGAAGCGCTCCTGCCAGTTCCTCTGTCGTCTTTGGGAGGGCAGAGCCTGTGCTGACACACCGGGGCAAGAGGTGGTGAGGTGCCTGGTGCCCGTGCCCGGCTCCTGCTCGGCTGCTCCCTACCCTCCTCCTGACCTTGCCCTTAGTCACTCCCTTGCTGTCTCTCTGAACCTCCTTATCTCTGGCTGCCTGTCTCATCTGCTTCCCTTTGTTCCCGGCTGTGCCTCCAGACCCTCCCCGAAACTACTGGGGCTTGAGGACATGAGACAGAAATTTTATTTTATAAACTCTATTAGGCAGTGTAAACCAAACATTAGCAGAGTTGGCAAAAAAATCTAGGCAGGTGGTTACTTTGGGGTCCTAAAAGGCGGGATTAGGTTGAGTTATCTGTTACATTGTGGATTCAGAAGCTGCTGGAATCCTGGGTCCTGTCTGATCCCTGCGTTGGCTGCCTCTGGCAGTGGTGGTGCCAAGGGGGTGCTTTGGGGGGGTTAGATGCCCCTACATTTCCATTAGTTCCAAACAAACCTGAAATATGGCCACGAACGGTGTGTTCGCTAACTACACAATGAATGCCTAGACCCCGTTTCCACCCACTGCCCATAAGCCCCTGTCGGAAGCCTCCAAATCTCAAAGAGGGCCCCGTCTGCTCTCTCTGTTTGGCTCATCATCTTCCCTCGAGCCTTTATAACGAGTGGGACTGGAAGGCTCAGTTTGCTCATTCATTCATTCTTGGTCCCTTTACATGTTGACGGTTATTTAACACCTTCAATGACAATACAAGACAGTAGAGGGGACCCAGGAAGCAGAGGTGAAGAAACAGCCTGTATGAATGAAAAGTTAAATGGCACTGCAGGGGTTAACCAACACCACGTTGGCAAACACACACCAGAAATGCTGTGATATGTCAAAGGCGCCCAGGACAAATATCAAGAACTGAGTCCACAGGCAGGAGCCATTCTTCTGGCTGGAGGGCTGAAGTCAGGCTTCTTGGAAGGGTGGGTTTGCCCTGGGCCTGGAGGTGAGTCGGAGATGGACAGTCCAGGGGAGGGCATTGCAGGCAGAGGACCAGCCTGGGGTTTGGCCAGCAGAACCAGAAGCGCAGCCCGGGACTCTTGTGAGTGGCCTCGGTGGCACGTGTGACTCATGCATCCACAGGGCAGGGGGTGAGTGCAACGTTGAATATCAGGGCTGCCCACAAACACAAAAAGAAATGCCTGGAAACCCAACTGTGGTACACAACATACAAACCAATGTGAAAGAAAACCACCCATGGAGCCATTCTAAAACACATTCAGCAAGAGGGAACCACAGACAGAGGTGGGTCACAAGTGACCAGTTGTGGGCGACTGTCCCAGGTCTCTATCCTGGGGCAATTCTGGGCCACGGTGGGACGGAGCCTGGAGGTCTAGCATCTTCAGGTGCTCGGGGTCCCCTTAGGAGGGGACTCTAGGCCTCTCCTGTGCTGAGCCTGTCCTGTTCTGGTCTGGTGCTGAAGTGATTCAGCCTTGGTTTCAGAGGATAGGCTGGTGGGTAGGCTGGCCTTGGCATATGTCCCCTGGGCTAGTCTCTCCCAGAGCCTGTGGGTCCTGACAGACCCCTCACCACCCTGGTAGCTCAGAGATATGTGAGATCTACTTCAAATAGCCGTCTAATGCTGAGGCTTCTCTGTCCTCTCTTCCACAAGAAACCAATAGGTTCTAAGAACTGTTTTCCAGCCCGGCCTGAATCCTGCCAGTCCAGTAACAGCATAGCACCAGGCTTACTAGTAAATATTTGCTCATAGAATTCCCATTCTGCACGCTGCTCATGGCCTGATTGCCTCCTGGATCCTTGCCCACGTGCCCTCACCCTCCACAGCTGCACCCTGTTCTCACTTCCTGATCAGAGGAGGCATCTCTGTTTGGTGTTCTCGTCATGGGAATGCCATCCGCCACGCACCTGTCACCACCCCCTCCCAGCCCCAAGTCTCTAGGACTCAGCCTCCCGGGACTCCCACCTTGCTGGCTGGCTCCCTGGGAAGAGCTTTTAATCAAGGGTGGAAAGTCCATGTGAAAACCTAACTGGGGGAAAACTTGGAAAGAGGAGCAGTAGAGTTTTCTGTCCAGACCAGGCCAGCCGCTGTCTGAAATGCCCTTTCATGCATTTATCTCTATAAACGCCTATGTGCATCTAATTTATCTATGAAGCATCTTTGCAGGAGTGTACAGAGGTGTGTTCATACCTTGGCTCGCTGGATTGTTTCCTACTGTCCTATCTACTTTCCTCCATGTCAGCATGTCTTGGGTTATGCAGTCCTGGGCTTTGGGAATCAGATCTGGGAAGCAGGGATGAGCAGCTCTGAGAGGCATGGAGGCATTCAAGTGGAGGCAGGACAGCCTCCTAGGATCGTGCCGGGCTTGCAATTTCGTAGGAGAAGTGGAGCCAGGTGACTGCTGAGGTCCCTTTAATTCCACAGAATCTGAGCGCAGACCACTTTGCCTGGTAACCCAGATGTGATTAAGTGGTTGTTGATGCATTCTGTGGGACAACGTGGCATCAGTGCCCATCAAGATGGCATCTGGTTGGAAGTCCTGCCGCATAACTTACTGATGTGCCCCTGGGTGTGCCTACCAACCTTTCTGTGCCTCAGTTTCCTCCTCTGTGAATGAGGATAACAATAGTACTATTAAGGGTTGTAGTGAGAGTGAAGGAGAGAATGCATAGGAGGTTCTTCGTGTGTGACACCCCAGCACATGCTCAGTCAGTGTTGGTGGTTGTCCTTAAAGTTGGCTTTGTGGTTCTTGTTGGAGGACCCAGTCGGAAAGACCTGGATCCTCAGATGTGCCCTCTGGCTCTATGGGGTAAGTGTCAACCGTCCCCCAGCTCCCAGCCTTGCTCCTGACCTAAAATTCCCCCGATGGAGGGAGGCGCTCCTGCCCAGAAGCTCCACCCCACAGGCTGCTCAGCCAGACAGTAGGGTCACCCGGGCCCGACGGACTCCACACCTTTGGCCTCAGTGGGGTCCCCCAGCAGAGCCCTTGGAAGGCACCGTCCACCGCAAATTCTGAGGTGTTGTTCTCCTGGCCCAGCCAGTGACTGTCTCCTTTAGCCCCTAAGCTAACCGGAGTCCGAGATCCGGGCATGGGCCACCAGCCCTCCAGAGGCTGTGGGCTCCCGCTGGCTGTGGTCGCAGCCCACTCTCCGCTTGGACTTGGCCGCTGGAGCAGGCCAAGCAGCCTTTCTGCTCCTACTCCTCCAACCAGCCTCCCTCCTCCGCAAAAGGGCCAGGCTGACGCTGTGCCTGTGCTTCTGCTGTGAGTCTCTTGCAAGGTGGCTTGCTCCAGGCTGTTCTGTGCACTCCGGAGCCCCACATGGGGTCTCATCTCCGCACAGCGAGGCAGGGGCATTCTTCCCAACCCACGGTGGCGGCTCACCCCGGGCTTGGCAGGAAGCCCTGGAATGAACTTGGCAGGGATTGTCAGGTTCAAGCCCGTCATTTTGGAGATGGGAAAACTGAGGTCAGAGAGGGGAAGGATCCCACATTTCAAGCACACCGGCTGAGGAGGACAGGCCCCCCTACTTCACCCCGGGAAAAAAGTCACTTTAGAGTAATCTCAACGGTTCATCAATTTTGCCTTTTTATATGAAAGTTTTCTTTTGAGAGGGCAGAATCTCCATGCAGTGCTCTTTCTGGAAAGGGCAATTTACTTAGCAGATTTTACCTTTAATAAGAGGGGGAATTTGGCAGCCCCACGTTGCTGCACTTCTGCTCTCGGACCTGGGGAGGAAGGAGTGCCAAGAAGCCTCACCTCCCTGGGGAGGGTCCTCGGGAAGACAAGTGTAAGCAGGGGATGAAGGGAGTGGGCTTCTGGGCCCCCAGAAGAGCAAGGGTATGTCCTCTGGCTGTCTCTAAGGCCTCTCGCCCACCGCTGACCTCGTAAAGCTAGAACCTGTGAGAACCTGAACCATGAAAAGCTGAGACGCTGACTCAGTAAGTTAGAGACTATTTGCATACTATTTTGGGGTGCTTTAGCTGCGTGTGGTTTGATGCTAATAAGAGCAGCCCTTGTTTCTGACCCACACCTCCTATATCTCTCCTTGCGCTGACCCTAACGCTTGCTTGAGCACTTCACTGATGGTCAAATCTGGAATGATCACTTTACTATGTCCCTCATATTAGCACCAGGAACTCAAAGATGAAGCCAGCCTGTAGCTCCTTGGAAGGTCAGAACAGTGGTTTGCTGGTAGGTGGGTGTTTGGAGGACATCACCCAGAGACAAGCCCATTGATGCTTCCACTTGGGACAGAGAAGCCCCCCAAACCAGGACTATTTTGCTGTACCTGCCTACATGACCTATTTTCTGGCTACAGCTAGTATTACCTGTTCTAAACATCTGGAATTACCTGCCTGCTTAGTCACCTTCCCTCTGGCTTCAAACAGCTGTAGGGCCCCACCCCCTCTCCACATACATCCTATCCATCTAGGGTCCCTCCCCTTTTTCCTCCTGGAAGGATCTGGAGGTACCAGATCCACAAGTTCTGATGTCTTTAAAAGGATCAGCCTGGGCAATAAGGCTCATTTGAGCGCTGTGACATTCACCTTGACTCTAGTGAAAGTCCAACAGCCAATCCCCTTTTGGCTTCCAACTGGGCACCATGAGGCCCTGTGTGCCCCTGATAGTGGCCATACTCTGCAGCTTGGCCTGGGCTGGTAAGTCATCATCTGGTGGGGGTGAAAGGGTCCTACGTAAAGAAGCAGAGAGTTAGGGAACTTGGTAGAGGGTGAGCAGCGTGGGACAAGGGAGGGTCAGCTCTGTCCTAAAGCCAAGGAGCACCTTAGACCTATCCCTGTCAGAGTATAGGAGTTGTCTCTGGGGTGGAGGGGACTGTGTGAAGGGGGCTGCAGGGCTGATGGACTAATGTCATGGAAGCCCCTTCCTGAGTCCTTGGAAGACCAGACCCAGACATCCCTTAGTCCAACCTGACTTTTGATCTCACCAAGGTTTGTCAGCGGGACTGTTGTATGATATAAAGCCGGGGCTGTGTCCTGCTGGGTTTGAGTGACCTGGCTGGTGGATGAGGTTGTCTGGGGTGGGACCTTGCTCTGGGTAAAAGCCTCAGGAGATGGGCAGGCTCAGGGGGAAACTGGAAAAGCCCTTGGCCAAGAGGTAGGCCGTGTACGCTCTAAACTGTACAGTGGTCAGAGGAACGGGCCTTCGACCCAGTGTTCGAGGAACTAGAGCACAGAGAAGGGTCCGGGCCTACAGTTACTAGGGGTGCAGGGGATGGGGCCTGCAGAAGGACAGCAGTAGCCGTGCAAAATGCTGATGCTGAGGTGTTCATTGGTAGTTGGTTAATGGGTGTGGAGGAACGAGTGCTAAGGGAGGGGGCTGAGCTGAGGGGTGTGGGGAGAATCCTCCTCTGCCCAGACGAGAAAGAATCAGAGCTTGATACCCACCCCACCCAACCCAGGTTGTTCCCAAATAGGACTGTTGTAAGGACGAATTAAGATAATGTATAAAAAGCACCTTACATGGTGTGAGATCTCGATGAGCTGGGGTTTTGGTTACGAGTATGTTTATACATATTCCTGGGAGAAACTTCCTCATTTCCAGCCATAATGGGATTCCCAAATGGAAGTCCTTTGGAGGAAAAGGCAGCTCCCAGGCCCCCCTGCTCTGGGAGGGACCGGGGACCTCTATTCTGGCACCTGCTGCCGAGCAGCTGGGAGTCAGCTCTGCCGGGGCCCTGGGGCGTGGACAGCCAATGGGGAGGGCATGAGAACTTCTAGCTTAGTGTGAGCCAGCGGCCGCTGGGTTGGCACATCCCACTCTCAGGAGAGGAGAGCGACTTGAGACACTGGGTCTCTGGGCAGCCATGCCCGAGGACAGAGGTAACAGTACCTTCAGAAGTGAATGTGAAGCCCTTGCACCTGCGGGGGGTGATCTAGCCTAGCTGTGGGATGGATGGGGAGTTGTGGGTCCAGTGGGCAATGCCTCCTTCTTTCCTAAGGTGGGTGGGAGGAGGCTCGGCTCTTGTCCATCCTAGTTCCAACATCTCAGAACTTAGATGCAAGACTATGGATCATATGGAGGAGTCACGGCCAGTCTTAGGACCCTGGTTGTTTTGGGTGAACTGGGGCAGGAAGCTGGTCCTGGAAATGAATCTTCTTGGCTGACTAGGTCTCCAGGGAAACAGCATCTGGGGCTCCTGGACAGGCACAGATGTAGGATGATGCCCCGACCCTCAGAGTGGCTGAGTGCTGGTGTACTAGGGATACCCAGGTTTGGGACCAGGCTCTCTCGGTGGGCAGCATGGATAAGGGGTGGGCCTTCTGGCATATTGAAGTCTTGGAGAGTGCAGAGAAATTCAGCATCTCATGAGACAGGGGAGGCCCCAAGCTTTTCAAGGGGAATGGAGGGAAACCCCGAGTCTGAGATAGGCAAGGCCAAAATGAAGAAGGCTGAGGCTCAGAGAGATGAGGCAGAGGCCAAGGGGCAGATGGTTGCTGAAGCAGTGACTCAGCACCTGGCCCGTGAGCAAGGCTCACACCGAGCCCTGTGTGGCTCGCGCACAGGGTGGGGACACCAGAGTGGGGAGTTGGGGTGACTTGTCCACTGAGTGTCCCGAGGACAGCACAGCGAGGCGCCTATGAGGAAAAGTCCCTCCTACCTCTCCCCTCCACCCTCAAATCCCAAGGTCGTCTTGAAGCAGACCAAGTTTACAGGGAACCCCTGGAAGGGGGTTCTTACTGGGGACAAAGTTCTTGAATAGAGATGAAAAAGTCCACTCAGCCAGGGCCATGGGGGGTGCTGTCCCGAGCTCCAGAGAGCTGACTATTCACTCGGAGCCCTTCTCAACCGGTGCCAGCTATTGGAATGAAGTGAGTTCTTTCCTGGGACTCTGCTGATCTGGCCCATTGTGAACATTGCCTTGAATTGTCTGAATTTTCTCCCTTTGGATTCTGGGTGTTCTGCCAGGCTGACCTGGCAGGCAGCTGACCGAGCCTTCTTCATGGCCTAAAAATTTCTCCTTAAGGTCTTTGCATTCAGGTTCCAAGGGAGCATCATTTAAGATTCAGGAGGAGTTCCCCTGAAAGGACAAGTGGCCTTGGGTCTGGTTGTTTTTTAAGGACAATCCACTGGATGAAAGACCTGCCTCCCTGGCCGTGTGGGAGGCCCTGGACACAACTTGAGGCTGCCTCAGGACCTGGTTAACCCTGACCTGACCCCTCTTTAATGTAAAGAATACAGGCTCACAGCAATGACGTCAGCTGGGAAACAGCCAGCCACATAAATGTCCTGACACCCCAGTCCAAGGGACGGCCCAGCTGAAACCCAGGGAGGGAGTCAGCTAGATGAAGTATGTCCACGGGGAAGACTGCTCCAGCCAGTCTGAGCGCTTGCCACGTTGGAGGTGGGCATGGAGTGTTATCACTGTTTATTTATCTAAGCAGCACATGTTGCTAGTATGTATCACGCGCTGTACTAAGTGCTTTACAAATATCAACCCATTTAATTCTTATGAATATTCTATGAGATGGACTCCATTGTCATGCCACTTTCACAGATAAGGAAACCGAGGCACAGAAGGTCAAATAACTTGCCCAAGACCTTATAGCTTGAAAGCAGCCGAACCAGAATTCCAGCCCTATGCAGTTTTGGCCCCAGAGTCCAGGTTCTCAAGCTCTTTGCTATGCCACCTGCATGAACACCATATAAACCTTAATCCCAGAATCCAAACAGTAACTAAACCCATATCCTTAATATTCACCTCCCACCCAATCCAGGCTTAAATTGAGATACTGTACCTGTGTGGAATCACCACCAGAACCAAACTCCAAATCTAATCGAAGGCAAAAGTGGGATCACTCTTCAACCTTGAAGTGGTGTTAAACCTATCCCCTCATTCCTCAGCCAAACAGCGATACAAAATTGTTACTTTATCAATAAATTTAACTCAAGTCCAAATCCCAACCATAGCTCTTTTTTTTTTTAAAGTTTTTATTTATTTATTTGAGAGAGAGTGAGAGAGAGCACGAGCAGGGGGTGGGGAGAGGGAGAAGGAGAAGCAGGCTCCTGCAGAGCAGGGAGCCCAATGTGGGGCTCGATCCCAGGACCCTGGGATCATGACCTGAGCTGAAGGCAGACACTTAACGACTGAGCCACCCAGGCACCCCTTCCAACCATAGCTCTTAATCTAAACCTAACTAACCCTAACTCTGGCCCAAATTAGGTTTCAGTTTCTGCGTTCATACAAATTCGACGCTAATGGCAACACTGTCTCTGATCTTGACGTTCTCCGGCGCCCACAGCCTGGCCCCTTAACCCAGCATTCGCGAAATCCAAACCTCAGGAACCTCAAGTGGAAACAAAGACTCTGTAATTACCCTTAAAGCTCAAAGTGGAAGGAAAGGGCCCCCGAAGCCAGCTGTCACCAAAGATATCTCCTGACACTCTCTTTGCTGGGGTGGGCATGGTGGGGGTTGTGTTTTTAGGAGTGGTAGTGGGTTTGTACCATTTCTTTCAAAATTTTTTGTCTATGCCCCTTGTGACCAAAAATTTGCTTCTGCAAGCCATGTGGCTGGAGTAAGGGATGTGGTCTGTGGTTACAGAACGGATCCTATTCCAGAATCCAATTTTCACCCATACTCGCCTCTTGCCCCACCCGAACATAAACTAATTCAAACGCATTCCGAAGACTAGAAGAAACAGAAAGATGGGACCTGGGGGAAACAGGACGCAGGGGAGACCAGGTGAAGGGGAGCAAAGAACAAAGCAGCAGAAGACATAAAAGGGACAGGATGAGAGGAAGGGGGTGTCAGAGGGGAGAGGGAAGGTGGGATCACTGGGGCAGCAGTGACTCACCTTGATCTACGTGACAGGTGATTGGTGGCCTGTGGGTCACGACCAGCCTACAGATCTCTTCCATTGGTCTGCCTGAATTTTTTAAAAATTGGAGAACTTCACATAAAAATAAAGGCTTCTCTTGAAAAACTAGAGGCTCTGGCAACACTGAGCCTGCACCCCAACATGGCAGAAGTGGCTGGAGCTGATAGTGGCTGCCAATTTCAGGCCGAGCATCACTTCCAAGTTTGTCACGGTCCCCACCAATTCCTACTGCCTCCTTGCTTCTTTCCTTGCTTCTGTTAGAGGTCTAGCCTCACTCGGCATTCGAGTCTATGATCCTCATCTATATAATGAGCCCTGCAACGTAGGGTGGGTGGTGGGTGGTGGTGGGGATGAGGCTTCTGCTGGTGCGTGAGCGGTTGTGCATGTATTTCTCCCTTGCAGATAGCAATGATCTTCCCTGCGAGGTGGGGCCCATGCCCCTGTCTGCAAACCCTACTGCAGGGTGCACCTTGATGAGGAGAATAGGATCCTCACAGAGCTGAGTTTGTGACCTTTATTGCCCGTAGGAAAATTGGAGTCCTGTGCATCTCGCTGTAATGAGAAATTTAACCGGGATGCTGCCTGCCAGTGTGACCGCCAGTGTCCCTGGCATGGGGACTGCTGTGAAGACTATGAGCATCTGTGTACTGGTGAGGCTCCTTGTGGGGTGAAGGGTCTGGGAGGCAGGCCAGGCCATGTCCACACCCAGACTGCCTGAAGGGACGCTGGCTCGGGTGTCCAGCAGTTCAGAGCTGGGTTTGAGATGGATGACAAGACTCCAGGGGCCCGAATGAGGACACTGAGGGGCAGCGCAAAGGTCAGGGATTTGGCCACTACTTGTCCCAGGTATTCTAGGATGTCCCCAGTATAAAACCCCAACTTCAAAGAAAATAGGTTATTTACCTGGAATATCTGTCTGAACTATCAGGATTAACAATATTTTGAAAGTTTAAGTAATTTCAAAAACAGCAGAATGGTAACAAACATTAATATAACATGAATCCCATTACCAATTGTAATTCAACACTTTACACCGCAAAAGTGTAAAAAGGGAGTACAACTTTCCAACTTGCGTGCCACCAGGAAGCCTGCACGGCGTCACAGTGACTGTCATGATTCACACCACTCTTCCGATAATGAGTGGACCGAGCGGCTGCATCATTTTCAATCTATCATTCCCTGTCCAGTGACTAAATGGGACACGCACTGCTCTCAGAAACCAATCATTTCTCTGCTACTCTAACAACATAGTTTTAAAGGAATCATTTGAAAAAATTATTTTGAATAATCTCCTTGTTTGGATGCTTCCAGTGTTTTAGACCGCCAGATAAATGGTCTTCTGCTTTGTGACATGAAGCCTTGTTAAGTTCACTGTCAAACCAGGTGCTGCGACTCTCAGTTTGGAAAACATGATCACTAAAGACATGGTAGGGAATGGCTAGCAAGACCATGGCATACAGTTGTGCAGGTGGTGCACTGCACAAGGGCACCTGGCTGAGAAGGCAAGTTGACCAAAATAGAGTCCATATCCTTCTTGCTAATCCATGTGCCTTGGTGAAGAGTTGTGTCCGCTGAGAGAAAGAAGTACCTTTTCCCAATTTTCTCAAAGGTGGTATATGCTGACCCAGCCATGGGCCCACTGGGTAGCTTCCACCCAGAAGGAACCCTCATTCAATTTACATGAAAACACCGTCTATACCAGCAGAAGTTCTGCTGATCAAGCCCAGGGAGGGAGACCCAGGTCCAGAGCTCAATGCCAGTATCAGAGCCTGCCCCTTTCTCTTGCCTTGTGCCCTATTCAGCAGACACAGGAGAACCTGTTTACCTTGGACCATCGGGCTGGCATTCACAGCACAGAAGATACTTAGCTTAGGAGCCAGTCCATCTCCCAGTCTCTGATTTGCACCTCAGAATCCTTTTCCCACAGAAAAAAAAAATGGATGATGCTTGAGACTCTAAATCAGCTCTTGAAAGTCTCTTTAGCATAACATTGGTGGAGTTAAGGACCTTGTGGATTGTCAGCCCTTAGAGCACAGCCTGGCACCAAGTAAGTGATCAGAAGATGTGTGTTGCTGAGCAAATCACCTGCCCTGTGGTTCTGATGGTAATAAGACAACACTATCCAGCAAACTCACTAACGGATTCTGAATCACTTTGTAATAATTTTGCTTCTTTGGGGGAAAATTACCCCACTCCGTGTGAGAGAGGACCTCAGCATCCCCAGGAGCATCCTTCCTCTTCCTCCCCACCCCCACTCCGCCCACACTGCTCTGCCCCGAGCCCAGGCTCCAGTCCCAGTCACACAGCCTGCAGGTCAGGGGAACGGGGCAGCAATATGAACATGCTTTTCTGAACACGCCCCCCCCATCTCTGTGGCCATTGCCAAGTGTTGTAAAGAAAGAAGGGAAGTTGGTATCTCAGGAAACAGTTCTTAGTCCCAGAGGGCCTGGGTGGAGTTCACCCTTGACCGTGACTGGGAGTTATTATAGGTAAGGGATGTTCCTAAGTGAGGGCCTTGTCATTTGGAGAAGGGCAAGCCCGTCCATCTATCAACGTGCGTTAAAGAAAAGTCATACCCAAATCAGGGTTTTCAATCCAGAAGGCACCCCTTCCTGCCTCCCCTCCTCTTTGTACAGATGAGCAAGCACACTGAGTACCAGAATGCTCAAGTGGCAAGGAGAGTTGTCACCTGGGGAAATTCTTTGCACTTTCTGTAACAGTTTTCAGCCATCTGTCCCCTTCTGTCTTCCATTTTCAGTTTGTCTCCTTGTTCATTGTGCCTTAGCCCCTGTTTCGTATTTTCTTCCACCACACTGCTTGTGCCAGAGGCTGGGGGAACTGAGAATCAGACATAAGGGGAAGGGAGCCCTTGGGGGTGGGGGGGTGAGGTGGGTGGCTGGTGACTCTACTTCTCTGACCTACAGTTCAAGAGGACCCTGAAGAGCCAGAGCCATTCCTGGGGCTGGAGGAAGAGATGTTGGAGGCCCCAGCGAGCAGTGAGTCTGCCCTTCTAAAGGGGGGCCTGCAGGCTAAAGAAGGAGGGACACGGGAGGTGACAAGGAGGAGGCAGCCATCCCAGTGGCAGCAGGCACAGGCCTGAGCCAGGCGGACCCCAAACCCAGCACCCGGAGGTGGTACGAGGGGCTGGGCTTGGCAGCCTGGCGTGTAGGCAGGAAAGGGAGTCTGAGGCCTACGGAGGGAAGTGGAAGAGATTTTATTTTTAGGGTGGGAAGATTATAAAAACAACAGGCCAGAAAGTAGAGTTTGGCCTCTCGGAAAGGGCTTCCTGACCATGGAGGGTGTGTACCAGTTCAGCCTATTTGTTTTCCTTCCCTGGAGATCTTCGCTAGGAGTGCGGAGGGCGAGGCTGGGGGGCTGGGGTGGGGGTGGTGTTGGGAGAACCTGGCTGCCGGCCCGAAGCGACCTCTAGGGGTCTGCCCGGGACACACACACACCCCTCCCTGTCCTCTCAGACCTGTACTCGGCACCCAGCTCCTGTCGGGACCGCTGCCACGAGGCCTTCGACAGGCACCAGCCGTGTCACTGCAATGCCCGCTGCCCAGAGTTTGGGAACTGCTGCAAGGACTTCGAGATCCTGTGTGGCCACGGTCAGTCTCCTGCTCCCTTTAGCGCAGCCCCAGGCACCGAGGAACTCTCCAGAGCAATAGTTCTGCGGGTGTGCTCCCTGGACCTGCGGCATCAGTACCATCTGGGGCTGTATTAGAAAGGGAGACTCTAGGGCTTCCCCCCAGACCCACAGAATCAGGAACTTGGGGGGGGGTGGGGCCCCCTGACCTGTTTTCACAAGCCCTCCAGGTGATTATGGTGGGCGCCCAAGTTTGAGAACCTTCGCAGAGGAGGGTGTGGACATTCTGCGGGGAGGCCACTTGCTGATTTTAAGTAGCCTTGAGGCCCCGAGGCCCCCGCCGTCCAACCACTAGGGTGATGGATTGCCGCCTCTTTCCCTGGCTGTCGGCTTCTGGAAGGTGCCCAGGGGAGGGGGCCCACAGACTGCTCCCTCCCCCGGGGGCCTTCCTTGGGCTGAGAGCCCCCTCCCCCATCCCTCCCAGAGGGCTTCTCCTACAGCAGGGACGCCATAACCAAGGAGGAGCTACAGAGCGTCTCTGAGAAGATCTACAGGGCGGACATCAACAAAGCCCAGAAGGCAGACATCATTCTCAACAGCCAAAACCGCATCTCGCCCTCGGAGACCAGAGACCACGTGGACCGCTGCCCAGAGCCGTGAGTCCCCTTCACTCTCCCTGCGCGCAGTGCCCCGCACCGGCTCCCACCCCCGGCCGGCTTCGCTTCCTTCCACGCCTCAGCCCTTTTCTCCTCAGGGCAGGCAGGGTCGAAGGGAGAGAAGAAAGTAGGTCTCCAGAGACAAAGCCATCTTGAGGGACTGTGGGTGTGCAGCTTGGAGGGTTTCTGTGGTTGCGCGGGCTGCGAAGAGAACCGACCTTCCAAGCGCTGGAGCGGGAGAAAAGAGGCGCCTCAGGCACACCCTTCTGGAGGGGCTGACGGCCCCACTCTGCTCCGGACCCCCGCCCCTGCGGGGGTGGTGGTGGTGGGGTTCTGCTCCATGTTCAGGCCTCTCCCCCCTCCCCGCCCCCCCGCCAGGCTCTTCACCTATGTCAACGAGAAGCTGTTCTCCAAGCCGACCTACGCGGCCTTCATCAGCCTCCTCAACAACTACCAGCGGGCCACCGGCCGTGGGGAGCACTTCAGTGCGCAGCAGCTGGCCGAGCAGGACGCCTTCCTCAGAGAGGTCATGAAGACGGCCGTCCTGAAGGAGCTCTATGGCTTCCTGCGTCACCAGAGTGAGTGAGCCTCCCGAAGCCCCACGGGGCAGTGCTGAGGACAGGAGGGCCTGGCAGCCCTGGGGCTCCAGGGTGGGGGGGGGGGGCTGTGCGCTGGCCAGCGGACTTCCGAGGGGGCCACAGAGGAGCCCCGGAGAGACCACGGGCCTAAGCAGCGGAAGCAGCCTTGGTCCGGCTGGGAAGTCACCTGTCCTCGGATTTGCTCTGAGCCGCCGCCTGCCTCCCCGCACTCACTGCTCCAGTCTCAGGCTCCCTGCGAGACGCGGAGTCACCCGCCTCCCTCCGCCCCACTTCAGCGGAGCCCAGAGTTGCCGAGGGTCCCTGATTCTCCTCCCTCCTGCTCCAGGTCCCGGAAGGATGCACTTCACTTCACGTTTTTGCTGGGGAAACAGCAACAGAAAAGCACCCAGAGCTTCTACCGGGAGGGGTTCTGGCTAGCGTGGCTCCAGATAGGGATACATCTGAATCAGACCAAAAAAGGTTTGAGCCGCAGGAGTTCTTGGCAGGGGGTTGTGTTTCTTTCGTGTCCCGCAGATTCCTCCACGGAACTCCAGGCAGCTGGGCTGGGCCCCCTGGGCAGCTCTTGTCCAGGTCTCCCCTCTGCCCAGAGCGGCTGCCTTCCATCTGCCTGCCTTCCCTTACGAGTGAGTCACCGGCGGTTTTTGGGTAAAGCGGAGGAGAGGCCGCCCCTGTGAAGAGGGCGCGATCCCGCACCGCCCCCTGGCGGTCCTCTGCCGCAAACACAAGCGAGAGTCTTGGGAGTCGGGCCCGCCCTCCAGCTTTCCGGAGAGAAGCCCGCCAGGCTGGCTGGCTGGTCTGAGATCAGGGAAGTCCCGAGCGGAGCCGGGTCTGGGACCCAGGGATCCGATACTGAGGCCGGGCTGTTCCATTACTTCTCCTGTCCTCACCTCTCTCCCTGTCCAAATCCGGACTGTCCTTCAAGTTCTAGCTCACATCCCACAGGGCCGACGCTGCACCTGCTCCAGCTGCCTGTCCAGCATCTCACGTGGCTCTCTCATGGCATCTACTCAGAGCTTAGTGTGAAGAGAACTCATGATTCCCACCCCTTCCTCCTTCCTCAGTCTTCCCCATCCCATCGATGACACCATAGTCCATCCCATTGCTCAGGCCCAAACCCCAGGAGTTATATTCAATTCTTCTCTACCTCACGGCTCCCCACCTACACTCCTCCATCAGTAATGTCTGTCACATCCTCCTTCAAAATCTATCCCTGATCTGCCCGATTCTCACCCCGCCCCCGCCCCCCCCCCATGGCTGCCACCACTGCTTCTGACCTGGACAAAGTGTTAGCCTCGAAACTGGTGTCTCTGCTGCTCCTACACCCCCCTCACTTTTTATATACACAACCAGAGTGAGCCTTTAAGAACAAAGCTCTCACGTAATTCCCCTGCTTCAAACCCTTCGGTGGCTCTCTCACCTCTAAGAAGCTATAAAGTCGTTAAGAGACCAGTTAACGTGTGTAATGATCGCGCGGGCTCAAGTGCCATTTCTATTAACTGTGTAGATCTTGTGTGAGTTACATAACCTTGGTCTGCCTCAGTTTCCTCATTTCTAAATTGGGGATAATTAGTCTCGACCTATGTGAAGATTCAATGTGAGGACTGAAGGCACTTAAAACAGTTGGGGCACATAGAACATGGAGAGTAAATCTAAAATATTTTTGTATTGTTACTTTTTGACTGACCCCCCACTTTCTTGCCATGGCCTGTGAGGCCTGGCCACTGCCTACCTCTCGGACCTCCTGTCCGACCACTGCCCCCTGCGCTCACTGTGCTCCAGCCACACTGACTTTCCCTTAGCTCTTTAAACACAAGGCTCAGGTCATCTTAGAGCCTTGCACCTGCTGTTCCCGCCACATGGAAGAATCTTTCCCCAGATTTTGTGTGGTTGACTCCTTATCCTTCAGGTCTCTGATTAGTGGTACCTTCTCAGAGAGGTCTTTCTAGTCTTCCTTTCTAGAAGAGCCCAACCCCATCCCAACCCTACCTCCTTGTCATCATGGGATACTCCGCTTTATTTTCTTCATAGCACTTACCTGCAGTCATATTGTTTATTATTTGTCTTTTCCACTGGAACGGAAACTGTGAAAGCAGGGATCTTGTCCTTGCTATTGACAACTGAATACGTTTGTTGGTTGAACCGCTGTGTTTCTTGATGTGCTGGAGCAGGTGGCTCTTCCCTGCTTCCCAGGACCTGGTTCCGCCTTCCCCTCTCCTAGGTGCTCTGTGTTCCTCCCTGCAGACCGATACAGCTCGGAACAAGAGTTTGTCAACGACTTGAAGAACATGTGGTTTGGGCTCTATTCAAGAGGCAATGAAGAGGAGGACTCAAGTGGCTTTGAACACGTCTTCTCAGGTGGGATCATTCTGCTTGGAAAGAAAGAGTTGGAGGAATGAAGAGAGACAGCTTCCCTCAGGAGTAGGGCGGCATCAGGCGCCGGGGAATCGGCAGCCGAGCCAGCTCTCAGGGACAGACAGTGTCCACTCCCAAGCCAAGACGGAGGGGTCCGAGGAGCTGTTTTTGAGGAACAGTGTCTTCTGGAGTATTTAAAGGGGAAAGGAGACCAGACACTGGGGCTCCCAAAGGGCACACATAGGAAGGGAGGTGTGTTTGGGGGCAGAGCTGTCTACTTCTGAATGGTTCTCTGCTTTCCAAGAGGGCCATGGTCTTTCTGCCCACTGTCCCACCCCATAAAGCTCCTACCAAGTTTGCCTTGCTACTGGAGAAATGGCTGAGAGGAATATTCCAGATTGGTCACCCGGGGCCAGCCGGGAGGAGGAGTTCTCCCAAGGGCTTGAGCTGAAAGGGGGTGGGGAGGGCTTTCCTGGGTGAGAGTTAGGGATGTGTGGGATGCTGGGGAGTCAGGGCAAAGGGCTAAGCAGGTGTGCATTCTACAAGCCAAAGTCTCAAGAAGGGGGACAGCCTTGGCATGGGAGGGGCAAAAGGGGTTGGAGGGGAGGCCCAGATCACCCACCTTGAACTCTTCATTATAGGTGAAATAAAAAAAGGCAAGGTCACCGGCTTCCATAACTGGATCCGCTTCTATATGCAGGAGAAGGAGGGCCTGGTTGACTATTATAGTCACGTCTATGACGGCCCCGTGAGTACTGAGTGCTGACCCCATGGGCTGGAGAAGCTTATTAGTACCCAGACCTCCTGCCCTCACTCTGCACTCCCAGCAGCCAGACTGGTCTCTCACCCTGACTCTCATTGGCCGCCCTGTGGGGATGGTGAAGATGACTTCCCGATCTGCTGGCTAGGCAGCCAGGACCCTGAGATTCCCTCCTAAACAGTGAAGTCTCCAGAGCTGCAGAGGGCAGGAAGCAGAGAGCACTATCCCTGGATGGGAGGCTGGGGGCAGGGGAGGATCCTCAGAGGGGAAGACAAATCTCAAAGGTATGTAATGACCCCCTGCCCAAATTTCCTTAGAATGTGGCTTTGGCTGGAAGTTTCAGCCTGGCTAGTCTGAGTTCAACTCCTTCCATTTTATAAAAAAGAAACCTTTGCTGCCCCGTGCCAGGAAATAACTTGGGGACAATAAATTGTCCTTCTCCCCCACATGTGATGGCCACAAGAAACAGTCATGGCCCCCGTGGCCCTGGTGGCAGTCACAGGAATGCTGGCTCTGGCCTCTCTGGGAGACGCACACTGGCAGCTCCAGACAGACGGTCCAAGGAGGGCTCAGACACCTTAGCAGGGCAGACTGTTTCCTTGGTCGATGTAAAGAATCCAGCCTCCCCAGAAAACACACAGGCCCCTAACGGGCCATCAGCAAACCCTGGCTGACTGCTCACCATGTGCCACCTCTCTGTCAGACTCCGCTCATGGTATTCACCAGGCCCCCTTTGCTACTCTCCACAGTGGGATTCTTACCCCGACGTGTTAGCCATGCAGTTCAACTGGGACGGCTACTATAAGGAAGTCGGCTCAGCTTTCATTGGGAGCAGCCCTGAATTTGAGTTTGCGCTCTACTCCCTGTGTTTCATTGCTAGGCCAGGCAAAGTGTAAGTACTGGGCCAGCCAGGCCTGGGGAGCAGGCTGGGGCCACAGGCTGTCCTCAGCCAGGACAGTCAGGAGAGCTGGATTCTGCAACTCAGTGGCTTGGACAAATCACCCTTCTGCACCTCAGTTTTCTCACTTGGGCAATGAGGTTGTTAGATAAGACTGGTGGTTGCCAAACTTTATCTTAGCAGCAGAACCACCACGTGAAGTCTTACGCAGAACCTTCATATGTAAAACAGTTAGGAACAGAGTTGCCCTGGTGCTCCAAGCCTCTCTATTTGGTCCCCAAGGCTGCTAGGGGGACCCCTGAAGCCCCAGAGAGTATAGCTTGAAACCACTGGGCTTCATCTCTTCTAACATCTGAGGACTTTGGGTCCTTCTACTTCTGAAACCCTAAGCAGACATTTAATTTCTGGGGGTTCAGCTCTAGACTCTGAGATTTTAGGATATTGTTCTGGGAGATATGAGGAGCAGGAGTCTTTAAGAAGGTAGAAACTAAGGCACAGTTTTGAAGGGCTGCCTGTGCATGGGGAGTGGGAGACAATGTCTGAAGAAAGCTGTGGCAGTTCTCCTGGGGGTTGTTCAAGTCAGGGTGGAGCCCTTCTGCATGGGTTGGGCTTGATCTTCCCAGTGAGGGGACGGGCATGGAGAGACGTGGTGGGCTCCTATGACTTGGCCATCTTTCCCCGCAGGTGCCAGTTAAGCCTGGGTGGATATCCCCTGGCCATCCAGACCTATCCCTGGGACAAGTCCACCTATGGAAATGGCAAGAAATACATCGCCACAGCCTACGTGGTGTCTTCCACCCAATAGAGCTTGGAGCCAGATAGGGGCATGAGGGCAGTGAGAATTCCTGCAGGACTCAGGGGCTATCTGCTCTGGGCTGCAGGGGGCTGGAGGAGACTGGGAGGGGTTCCCAAGTCTAGAAATGCCCTTATGGTTAAGAGAGAAAAGACACAAATAAGAAAAATGCAGAGAAACAGTCAAATGTTTGTGCTCCAGCATTTTGGAAATACACTCCAGACAGAGAAGATGGGAGCCCTCTGTAGCCCTTTGCCCTGACGGGAGGTGAAACCATAGACAAGTCCTTGAACTCTCCAGGCCTCATGTTTCCTTTTAATGTAAAGGGAAGGGGTTTGCCCCCTTTCTTCTTTTTGGAGTCGGTGAGAGGGCAAACCTGATGATATCATTACTGTGAAGGTGTTTTCAATTGTTCTTAAGAAGAACACCAGATAAAAATTCCAGGTTACTATAATGGCTGTTATCATACACAGCTTTGCAAACTGTAGTTCAGCTCTATGTTGGGGCCTCAAAGGACTCTGGTCATGGAAATCAAGCAGTGGGTATTTGGTCTTTTCTAGGGTTCTGTCCTCTCAGAACAGGGTCTGGGAGAACTCTGATGCTTGATGGAGGGGATAGTGGGTTAGCACAGTGAGTGAGCTTGGGAGGGAGTGAACTTCTCCAGGCCTGAGTGTTTCTGCAGCCAGTTCAGTGACTGCATCAAGAAGCTTTCTACTTGTAGATGTTTAGTGCAGGTACAGAGGTGTATTTTGATCCCACATAGTCTGTGAAAGACTTCCCCACATAGGAGGAAGATTTTGCATCTGAAGAAAGGAATTTATAGCTTGGTGACATTAACAATTATTTTAAGGCTTATCCAGCAGCCATAATTTGCTGGAATTACTCTGGAATTAAAGACAGGGGCTCCCTGTTCCAACCTCAATTATGCATTTCTCCTCTTGTGACCTCAGGGAGAACCAGACACTGTCCCACAGAACTAGGCTTGAACTATGGTTTACAGGGTTTGAGTCTCCAATTAAAGTCATTAAGAAAACTTGAAATCTATCTTCCCTTTGTATATGAACCCCCTCAACTGTCCATCTCCCTCCCTGCCTTTTCCCTGGAGCTGAGAGTGATGTTGCTGGCTTCAGTGTCTCTTCAGGATGGTGTGGAGAATGTGGTAACTCAAAGTCCCTGAGGACTCATCAAGTCTCTCTAGCCAAGAGGGGAAGAGAATTCTTCCTGGTTGATTTGTAACGTGAAGTGTAGAAGGATGGTACTTATGACTTCTGGTTCCACATATAAGGAACTTAGAAGTCACTATTCCATCGTAACAACAAGGGAAAAACCGAACAGCCTGAAAAATCAACAAGTCTTCTTGGATCTGCAAGAGAGGAGAGGACACAGGCAAACCAGTGCCCTCAAGATTGGAAAGTCAGGCAAATATAGATTGGAATAAGCTTGGAAAGACAAGCGTACTGGAGCAGAGACTCTCATGCAGCAAACCATTGCAGAAACCAGTGCCAGGGTAGGAAAATCTGAACTGTAATTGGTGAATTGCCTGAAGGAGAGGCGGTGCAGACTATCCTGAGTTCAAAACTCCAGGGGAGCCAGGCATAGGGGGATGCCACAGGATTGTGAGATTTATCTCCAGGAGCTCCACCAGGTTCCCATAGTGTGTACCAGAGAGAAACCCTCCTGGGTTACTGGCACAGGGAGGAGAAGTGGAACCATTTTGAAATAGCCAGAGAACTCTGTCCTTGCTAACAAAGCCTGCCCTTGGGGGAAACTTGTTAGCTGTTGGCTAACCTGATAGACTATTATCAGAGCCTAACTGACCTGGGGAAGGGATGCCATCCTCTTTCACACGAAGGGGGCAAAAACCTGAGAAACACTTGTGAAGTTCACAATCCAGAGGCATAGGCTCACTAAAAGACTGAGACACAATCATAAGACCATAGAATGCTTCCCTCCCCATCCCCCAACATTACCAAAGGCCGATTTACCATGCCTGGCAATCAAGAAAAAATTACAAAGCATATCAAAAGGTAAAATAACATAATTTGAAGAGCTAGAGCAAACATCAGAAGCAGACATGGCAGGGATGTTGTAATTTTCAGGTAGGGAATTTAAAGTAACTATGATTAATATGCTAAGGGCTATAATGAATAAAGTAGATAGCATGCAAGAACTGAGGGGCAATGTAAACAGAGAGATGGAAATCCTAAGAAAGAACCAAAAAGAAATGCTAGAGATGAAAACACTGTAACAGAAATGAAGAATACCTTTGATGGGCTTATTAGTAGACTGGACACATTTGAGGAGAGAATCTCTGAGTTTGAGGATATCTCAATAGAAAAACCAAAACCAAAAAGCAAAGAGAATAAAGACCAGCAAACAACCAAAACAGAATAGCCAAGCACTGTGGGATAACTACAAAAGGTGTAATATACACATAATGAGAATGCCAGAAGGAGAAGAAAGGGAGAAAGGAACAGAAGAAATATTTTAAACAATAATGACTGAAAATTTCCCAAAATTAATGTCAGATATCAAACCAGAGATCCAGGAAGTTCAGAAAACACCAAGCAGAATGAATATCAAAAAAACCACTATATTCTGACACATCATTTTCAAATTACAGAAAATCAAAGATAAAGAATAATTGTGAAAGAAGACAGAGGGAAAAAAATCTTACCTACAGAGGAGCCAGGACAAGAAATACATCTGACTTCTCCTAAGAAACCATGCAAGCAAGAACAGAATGGCATGAAATATTTAAAATGTTGAGAGAGGGCGCCTGGGTGGCTCAGTCAGTTGAGTTTCCAACTCTTGATTTCAGCTCAGGTCATGATCTTGGGGTCATGAGATTGAGCCCTGCATCAGCCTTTGCACTCAGCACATAGTCTGCTGGAGATTCTCCTCTCCCTCTCCCTCTCCCTCTGCCCCTCCCCCTGTTCATGAGCACTCTTCCTCCCTTTACATAAATAAATAAATAAAATCTTTAGAAAAAAAGTTGAGAGGAAAAAACCCACCAACCTAGAATTCTGTACCCTCCAAAATTATGCTTCAAAAGGCTGAGAAATAAAGACTTTCTCAAATAAACAAAAATCCAGGGAATTTGTTGCCAGTAGACCTGCCTTGCAAGAAATTTTCAAAGAAGTTTTTGGAGAGAAGGAAAATAACATAGATCAGAAACTCAGATATACATAAAGAAAAAAAGAGAGTATCAAAGAAGTAAAAAGTGAAGGTAAAATAAAAACTTTTATTTTCTTATTACTAATTGATCTAACAGACAACAGTTTGTTTAAAATAACAACAGCAATAATGTGTTCAATTATATGTATTACGTATACATATACACATATATTTATGTATACTTGTATACATATATGTATTATGGACATATACGTATATATTTATCCTCATATATAAGTGAAATGAGTAGCAGGTACAAGGAATTAGGATTATTTTGTTATTATAAGGTACTCACATTACCCATGATGTGGTATAGTGTTATTTGAAAATGGACATGGATTGATGTTGTAAACGTATATTGCAAACTCTAGGACAATGACTAAAAAAAGTAAAAAGTATAATGGATTTGCTAAGAAAGGAGAAAAAATGGAATTATACGAAATCCTCAATTAAAAGCATAAAAGCCAGAAAAGGAATGGAAGACAAAAATAGGAACAAAGACCTAAGACTACAAGTAGAAAACCTTAACGATTACAGCAGATATTAATTCAACTGTATCTGTAGTTACTTTGAATGTCAATGGTCTAAATGCAACAAATAAAAAAGAGACTGTTATAGTGGATCAAAACCAAGAACCAATTATATATTGTCTATGAGAAACCCACTTTAAATATGAAGACACACACAGATGAAAAGTAAATGGGTAGAGAAAAATACACCATGCTAACACCAATCAAAAGAAAGCAGGCATAGCTATGTTAATTTCATACAGACCAGATTTCAAAGTAAGGAAAGTTATCAGGGAAAAAGCAGGGCATTACATAATGTGAAATGGGTCAACTCTCCAAGAAGATGTAACAATTCTTAAGGTGTATGCATCTAACAGCACAGCATGAAACTGCATGAGGCAAAAACTGATAAAACAGAAAGAAGACATAGATGAGTCCACTACCATAGTTGGAGATGCCAATATCCTTTTCTCAGAAACAGGCAGATCTGGTAAGGCAGGAAATCAGGAAGAATACAGTTAAACTCAGCCACACCATCAATCAGCTGAATATAATTGCCATCTATAGACTATTTCATCCAATAAGATAGAATATACATTTTTCTCAGAGTCATATGGATCATTCACCAAGATAGACCACATTTCAGGCCACAAAATACCGCTTAATAAATTCAAAAGAATAGAATACTACAATGTCTGCTCTCAGCTCACAATTTTGGGAATTAAACTAGACATCGATAACAAAAGATAACTGGAAAACCATAAAATACATGGACATTAAACAACACACTTCTAAATAACATGACCAAAGGAAAAAAAATCTCAAGACAAATTTTAATATATTTTGAACTAAATGAAAATGAAAATACAACTTATCAAAATTTGTGAGATACAATGCTTAGAGGAAAATTTATAGCATTGAATACATATATTAGAAAAGGAGAGAGATCTAAAATCAATCACCTAAGTTTCTGCCTTAGGAAGCTAGAAAAGGGAGAGAAAAATAAAAAGTAGAAGAAAAGAAATAATAAGAATTAGAGCAGAAATCAAAGAGATTGAAAACAAAATCAATAGAGAAAATCAATGAAACTAAAGGCTAGTTCTTTGAAAAGATCGATAAAGTTGATAAGCCTCTAGCCAGGCTAACTAAGAAAAAAGGAGAGGACACAAATTACTAACATCAAAATGAGAGAAGAACAACACTGTAGACTCTATGGAAGTTAAAAGGATAGTAAAGGAATATTATGAACAACTCTATCTCATAAATTTAATAACCTAGATGAAATGAATGAATTCCTTGAAAGATGCAAGAGGAAATAGATGGTCTGAATAGGCCTACATCCATTAAATAAATAA